CAGTGAGCTGGAGCAGTGCCCAGCTGCTTCCTGCCCCTTCCCAGCAGCCTTCCCAAAGGATGGGGACAGCAAGTTCTGTCCAGGCCTGCCCCTCGGGCTGCAGTTTCACCCTGCCCCTCCTAGGTCTCCGCGCAGAGCCCTGCAGTGGCCTGACATGGTCCCTCCCAGTCTCCCAGAACCGGATGGGCTCTCTGAAACCTCTGCCCAGGAGCTGATCAGTGTGGAACAGTGTCATGGTCAGGCCCTCCCAGTAGACCACCCACACACACACACACACACATGCACACTCCCACCAGGTGTTCTGACCTGTGATGGGGACAGATAGGTCCTTGTGTGCATGCACTGCTCCTGAAGTAGCACAGCCCTTGGGCCCTGGGGGCAGCTCCGTGGGCCCCAGCTCATCTGCCCTAACAGGCTGGGTGCTGTCCCCGGGTGTGGACCGGTCTCAGAACTCCCTCTTCCTCTGCTTCTGTGGCTGCCCATCATCCCAGCTGACACATAGGGGCACATGGCCACCCAGCCGACCTGAGTGGAGATCCCCTCACAGGCCAGCTCAGAGCTGGGGTTCAGGCCAGCAGGTCACAGTGTTGCCAGCAGTCCTGGAAGGTGGGGGACACAGGGCAGAGGCTCAGTGCACCCAGCTGGAGCTCACAGACCCCTGGGTGTGCACACACGGACTTCCCGAATGCCGTGAGAGCCTCCCATCAGTAGGCTCTAAGAGCCAAGGTAACCTGCTGCAGGCTACTCGCTGTGACCCACATGGGAGCTGGGATTTGAACTGCCCTCTGGCCTCGACTCCAAGGTCTGCATCACCATGCTGAACCATACCTGCCATATTCACCAGGCTCTCCAATGCCCAAGGGCTGGCCCAGCAGCTGGCACAGAGGTGCCACACTGGCCGTCGGATCCCACAAGAATAGGTGTCCCACCACCCCGCGTGTCCTGGCCCTGAGGTTGTGGTCTTCCCGGAGTCCTGTTTGTTGTTCTATGTTTGGAGGACTTTGGGGTCTTGTCTCCCTTTCTTCCCAAGGCCCAGAGGATGGAGCATATGTCATCCTGTCTGGGGAGTCTTCTGGACAGAGCTGGGCAAGGAAATGAGAGAGGATCCTAATTAGAGGGCGATGACCCCCACAGAAACCAGCTTCCTTACCATGGGCCTGGCGTTCCCACAAGCCCCGCGTGTTGGTCCGATGTTTATAGAGGCTTCATTAGCGGAGAGCTCTGCAGATAAGAGGTGAGGCTGGAGCGCGCACCCAGCACCGGATAAGAACAAGCGGAGGACAGTCGGGGTCGATGTGAGAGCGTGCGCCGACCAGGGCCCTCCCTGCAGAGCCCCGGGCAGGGCCATGCCGGCGCGCTCCTCCCGCACTGCAGTCTGCATCCACTAGCTCCCTCCACGGCGGCCTGCCGTCCCCTCTCCTGGGCGAGAGCTTGGTCCCACCATGTGCCCCAGGGTGCTGTGGGTGGCTCTGCCCACGCTGTGCCTGCTGGCCTGCTCCGTGCAGGGGAAGCCACTGCAGAGCTGGGGGCGGACATCGGCTGCAGCGAATGCCCGCGGGTCTCTGGGGGAGTCCCGAGGTGAGCCCCGGGAGGGCCCCTTCGACCTGAAGATGTTCCTGGAGAACATGAAGGTGGATTTCCTGCGCAGCCTCAACCTGAGCGGGGTCCCCTCCCAGGACAAGACCCGAGTGGAGCCGCCGCAGTACATGCTCGACCTGTACAACAGGTACACCACCGACAGGGCGGCCGCCCCAGCGTCCAACATCGCGCGGAGCTTCAGCGTGGAAGGTAGAGTCAGCACCTGCTGCCTGGGGTGGGACCCAGAGGCCATGGCGGGGGCGCGAGGGGCCCCACCCCCTGAGGCCCTTCAGGTTTCCATGTAAATTTATTGCAAACAACATGAAAAAAGCAGAACTCTGGTCTCACCCGGGCCCGCCAGTCACGGCAGCCAACGGCCTCTTCCTGGGCGCCGCAGCCCGGGCCTTCTCCAGCTCTGACTTTCTGCCCGCAGCTCTGTTCTGGAGGGGTCTCTTTCCTGGGCCTCCGGGACAGGGGCTGCTTGGAAATCCCCTCCAGTCCTTCTCCCCCTCCCGGCCTGCCTCTGTTCTCCTCCCTTCCCTTCCCCTCTTCCTGTCCCGTCCTCTTGCTACTTAGAAACAGATCTTGTTTAACTTGCAACTAACTGGCATTTGCTTTTAAGCTTTGAAGAATGTCTACTGCCCTCTTCTGAAGGGTTAAAATTTGGATAAAACCTCTGACTGGGAAGTGTTGGAGAAGAATCTTGTTTTGTTTTGTTTTGTTTTGTTAATATAACTTTCCCTGATTTAGGAGGGCTGGAAGCTGAGAAGCATCAGCTTAGGGCCTGTGTCCACTACTCACCCAACCGCACACCACAGGTGAAATGAGCTCCTGAACAGGGAAGCCAAAGCCTGCAGTCACTGAGGAGGACCCGTGCCTCAGTGGGACAGCTACCCAGGCCCGCCCGTCGGCACGGCCCGCTGCCATTCCCCTGCTGTGTCCCTCGTTAACCGAGTTTCAATTCTGAACAGTTTCTCTCACTACTCAGATGCTGAGCTTTTCAACATTGTCTTAATATTGGCCTTTCGCGGTCCTCTCCCAAGGCCCCCCACTTTAAATTCATCCACTCAGAACCGCCCCTAAGGCTGAGCATGCGAACGCCGGACTCCGGGGACATGGACCCCTCCTCTGCTAGGACTGAGACCAGCAAATGCTGATGGGACCCAGCTCAGTGTCACCGGCCAGCCAGACCTGCCTGGCCTGCAGTGCATGTCAGTCTAACAATGCGTGGTCACTAGGTGCGTCCAGTACGCATGGTCTGATAGTCCAGAGAAGAAAATCTGGATTTTATGTGGACTGGAGCTTTAAAACCATGGCTCTATGTTATAAGAGAAAACAATGCAACCCGCAGGCCACCCAGGTGTGGCCAACATCTCACCAGGCCCACGAGCCATGGCCATAACTGCACCTTAGGGAAGGGCTGGTTCCTTTGACCATGGCCTAAGTCGCCAGCCCCACAGGCCCTGGAGTCCGGTATCTGGAGCCTCTCCAGCACACACACACACACACACACACACACACACACACAGACGCATGCCCCTCCA